ATACTTGAAATAAAAACACAACGACCTCAAATCCAAAAATAGCATTAAATTAGTAAAATAATAAAAAATTAACTGGATTTCAAAAAATAATTTGAGCCTCAATATATTTTTTAAAATAAAATAAAGGTTCAAAAACATCTCACAGCAATTTATTTACAAAGAACTTAATAACATCAAATAACTAGTGACTATTAACAACTTTTTTTTCTCACAATAAAATGAATTGTTCAAACCCCTTTTTTAGTTTCTTTTAATTTTAAATTTTGTTATAATTGCATTACCAAATTAAATTAAGTCAGCTTTCTAGATCATTGATTCTTTGATTAAATTTTTTTTATTTTTATTCTAATTTTGTTGGATATTAGATAATAATATTTTTGCATAATTAAAATATAAATTTTTAGAGTACAATGATGCAACGTGCAATACGTGTAACAGAGACCATACCTACTAGCTTAATTAACGTCATATTTAGCAATTTATTAAAAATAAAAGAGTAAGGTATTTTGGATTAAAGGGATATCCTAAATAAATGACCAAAAAACTTATTATAAAACTATTTGAAAGATAAATTTATTTTTATATTTTTATTTTTATCTTATACTTTTAACCAAATACTGGTTATTTAATTCATGCTTTGTCATGTGTTAGTTACCTTTTTTGAAAAATAAATAAATATGGAAGCTTTTTAAATATTTTATTTTTTTAAAATAAAATCTAATTATAAATAAAAAATCTTTGCATACATTTAATTAAATACATTGAGAATTAGTTGACCCAAGAAATATATAAAATAACTTGTTAATATGTTTATTCAATTCACCTAATTACAGGTGAAATATTTTTTTCTAATGCAAAAGAATTATTGTGTAAGTGTTATTAACACATTTTGTTTTTGTATCAAGTAAAAATATATAATCATGAATCACAAAATTGATGTTTACTTATATAAAATTTAAAAAAAATCATATATATTAAAAAAAAATAAGATTTCAAGGTAATCTTTAACATATCTAAAAAGGGAAATTGTTGCAATTGTTAATGTTAAACAATATAATTTTTTTATTCTGTGTAGAATAATTTTTCAGAAAACAAAACATGTAAAGAAAAAATTATAAAAAAATATAAAAGACTAATGATAAGCAAAAAAAAAAAAGCAATAGATAGGCCAAGTGTAAAGAATAAACAATAATGATTTTTTAAAAAAAAGTATAAAGAAAGAAAACCAAAAATACATTGTAAACAAAAAAGATTAAAAAAATAATGATAAATAGATCAAGAGTAAAATGAAGAAAAAAAACACCAAGTATAAATAGAAAAAAATTCAAGAAAAACTTGTTTTTAAATAAAATTAAATAAATAAAATAAAAACAAAAATTTACAATTATATCACCCCTACCATAACACTATATTAACACCACTTACTATAATATCTAAAAAAATCAAAATCCCTAACATAATTACAGAATCATCATCTTTTTTGTGAAATGGTGTTTTCTTTTAGTTTATTACTAGATGATTAACTTGTGCTATACTACGATTCAAGTTAATTTTTTCTTAAATGTAAAAAAATATTCAGATGTTCCTAATAGATTTTTCCTAGTAGAAAAAAACTAAATCGTGTGAGGATTTATTCTATATAACCTGGTTGACTTTATTAGTCTTAAAACAGCCCATACAACCTATGAAAATAAATTTTGTTTAGTCAAAATTGAAATAACAACATATCTGATTGATCTTAGACAACTCAAGTTAACGTATCAAATTCATGACCCAGGTTATGAAATTATGATAACCCTATTAAAAGTAAATCAAAATAATTTATTAAGTTTAATTCTCAATTAATCCAATATTAAAAGATAAAATTAAAAAAACCTTAAAAAATGACATGGGTTAATATGTTAAACTTGCAACCCAATTCATAAGACTGAGATAATTCCATGAATAGAAAATAAAAATAAATAAAAAATTTCAATCCCTAACTAGCTTGATATTGATGGATGGTGTCATAACCCAATTTTGGGTTATGATCCAAAATTTATTTTTTTCAAAATAAAAATAAAAAAAATAAAATAAAGGTTGATAACATGGAGAAAATAGGCTGGGAAATCAAGCTATAATTTTAAAGGAAATTAAAAGCCTAATTATACCCCCATGATACCAAAAAATGGAGAAAAACAATGCAAATTCAAGGTTAAATTAAAATATTATTAGATGAATTTGCATAAGAATTAAATTCAAAGACATAAATAAATTTTTAATAGGCCAATTTGATTTAATCATGTGCCAAATTGAATTTTAATTATATTTAAGAATTAATTTAGGTTCAATTAAAGAATTTAATTAAATGCAAATACTTAATTATACTTTAAATGGGTAAAATTAATTTCATTAAGGGTGTAATTATTGAAAAATTAAGTTTGAGCTTAATTAAAAAGATTGAAATTTTAACATAACAAATTTAATTTTTACCAAGTTAATTGATTGAAACAGGGGCATAATTGTAAGAAAAGTGAAGTTTTAGGGTCAATTAGATGTTAAATTGAAAGATTTCACAACCAATGACCAAACAGCAAAGGCATCAAATATAGGGGCTTAATTGATTAAAATCGAGGGATGAAATTAAAGAAATTAAAAGTTTAATGGTTAATTAGGACAAAATTATATACATCCGAACCTAGGGACTAAATTGAAAATAACGTATACATATAAGGCTGATGTTGAAGGTCATCTCCTTCGCCTTGGTCTTCCCCTCCTACTCCATGCCTGTAAAATTGGTCGCTAAATGCAGAACTTTACATTCTGCATACAGAAGGCTTACCGATTAACCTGGTTCCTAGGCCAAGCTAACGAACTTACGGGCCTAAGCCGAACCCTTTGTTTGGCCGATATTGACCAAACCTAACTTGGCTCGGCTTAGCCTAGTTGGGCAAGCTTTTCACACATGCACATATATATAAATCAATTTTTTTTTTATTTTCTCACATGTTTTTCTATTAATTTTGCTTAATATAAGATACAAATCTGATATTAAAATACTTGGTTTTCTCTAAACTGTTTCTAAAGAATTTTTAAAAATCTTGAAAAAAATTAAAAAAAACATAAAAAATTAAAATTAATTTCCCCTTTAAAAAATGAAAAAATATATTTTTTATTTTTGTGCATACGATCAAATCCTAAAATATTTTTGAATGATATTTTCATAAAAAAAATATATTTTTTTTATGTTTTCAAAAAAAAAAGATATCATAACTAGTTTATTATCATCCATTAGGGTTTGGGTAAAATATAAAAAACTCTTTGCCAATCATTTTTTTTGTCTACATGTAAACTTTAATATTTGTGGGATGTAAAATTATATGATAAAGTACAACCTGAAGTATTAAAGATGTAAGGTGTAAATAAATGTGATGCTAAAATTTTAACTGTAGAATGGTTAGGATTTAATCCGATAAGATAGAGACTCTCATGAATCTTTAAGTTTAGAAAAAACCAATGAATAGAAACTTGACTAAAAAAATAATTAAATAACAATGCAACTTAACTTAGATAGGGTGCACTAAGGGTGATGTGTCTTTCTCTTGCACAACCAGTCTTTTATCATACTCTCACATACCATATATTTCCACTGACCATGATACTAGGTGACGACTCCTGAATATTAATCATAATTTTATGATGAAATTCAAAAATCTTTCATACACAACACCTCATCAAGAGGCATGATAAAGTTGTCATCGCTGATGATATCGCGACACACCCCGCAACAGATGAGATTAAAAAAATAAACCAATTAAAAAAAATAAAAAAACAACTTGAATCAATCCACCAAACTTATAACTTTGGTTATTAGATTGAGATAACTTGATAAAAAAAAATAACCTTATTTTACCTAGGTTAACTTGTCAAATCCACAACTTTGATTTTGAGATTGAGATAACTCTGTAGAGAGAAAGTCATAACAAATTTTAAAGTTTAATTCTCGATCATTCTTGTCAGACCTAATGTGGAATAATGAAAATTGTAAAAATCTTAATTGAAAAAATAAGATGAAAAATAAGTCAACTTAACTCGAGTTAACCGTTAAATACTATTATGGAGTTATGAAATTATGATAACTTAATTGAAAACAAACCAAAACAAATCATAAAGTATAATTCTCAATTAAATACAATATTAATTGGGAAAATTAGGGGGGAAGGTCAATTGAAAAAACAAGAGAAAAAATGAGTTAATTATATTAACTCGCTATCCGGATTATGAGAAAGAGACAACCCAATAAAAAACAAGTATAATGTTAAAGAACTCATGACCTATATAATAAAACCAATATATCATCTTTGAAAGAAAAAAAAATGATCTAATTTAACATGCTAAAATGCCAAAATTCATGATCTTGATTTTATGACCAGGATCTTCTCCTAAAAAGCAAATCAAAACAGATTATAAAATTTAATTCCTGAGTAGTCTAATATTAAATGATAAAATTAAATAAAAGACACAAAAAAAAACAACCTAAATTAACTCAGATTAATCCATTAAGTATTATTTTTGTATCATAAGATTAAGATAATCTAATAGTAAATAAATAAAATAAATCATGAAGTTTAATTAATTTTTAATTAAATAAATATTAAAGGATAAAATTGAAAGAAAAAAACAAATTAAATAAAAAAACAAATCAAAATTTCAAGTGATTTGCGAGAAGAATTACAATAAAACCCTTCTTTATTAGTTTATAGCTGATATAGTATTTATATTTCTTCGATGATTTCACATTAAGTAAAAGCAGAGGGAAAAAGGAGCTCCACGTTTTGTTTTGCCTAAAGTAATCATTTTTTCTTTAGGCAAGATCGCTACTTGTCACCAACTCAACGTTCAAGAATGAGAAAGTCCATGCAGAAAGACACGTACGCTTCTCTCAACTCCACACAACCTTGAGCAATCTTCTAATGTTTTACTACTCTTGTGTCTTTCTAGCACTACAAATTTTGTTGACAATGGTGAAACTAGCATCAGCAAGAGAGAGTAGAATGTACGGGCCAGGGCTAGCTAGAAATAGAGGAGAATATATGAACGCAGGGCTCTGTGTGTTTGCAGCTATTGTACTTGTTGGTGGGTTTGTGGCTGAATTGTCAAAGGAACCCAAGTCAGGTCTTGTGCTTTTGCTTATAGGTCTCCTACTTATCATGGTGGTTAATCTTCATGATCTTGTTGCACATCTAGCCGGGATTGATTATCGGTTTCCTTTAATGGGGTTTGATACACAGCTTGCACTTGTTGAGTTTGCGGTTCCTGTGGTTCAGGCCTCGGGGGCTTTGCTTTCTTTCTTGGGTATTCTTTTTCTTTTTATTCAAGTTTTGGAAATAGCAGTAGTCTAATTGGATAGAAAAAAAGATGGTTTAAACATCACAATCTAAATAGAAAATCTTGGAATCTGAGTACTTTTGCATGGTAGCTTTTTAACGTACATCAAAGTTTCTTGATTAATGCAGGGCAAGACTTGGGTCTGGACAGGCATCTGTGGAAGTCTAATGATTTTTATAGGGGGATTAGCAAACGCAGTCAAGGTGTTCAAGATGCAGCAAATTGATGGACTACGGTTAGAGAAATTGAGAGGAGGGGCTCAAGAGCGTTTGATACGAGAGAGGGACGGTCACTCACCACTCATCCTAGAAGAGGAGAGGAGAAGGAAAATGATAGCAGCGGAAACGAGAGCAGCTCATATTCCTGCAACAACTCCTTACAGGGATGTGCTTGTTGGCCAGCCATGATTTTATAGAATCATCTAATAGCAACACCAATTATCGTTTTGGTTTCTATAATACTTTGTATTCTGATATCTTTTCTTTCTTCCTGTTTTTGTTTTTTTTTTTAGAAAATTTTATCTGCTCTTTTGGTCTCCCATCACTGGCCTTTAGCATACTACATGCCATTTTGTCCAGTTTGTATTCATGTTACAGATGACACGGATTTTCTTCAGTAGACATATATGGAATTTTGTAATGTGAATTGTGTTTGGCCGAGATTGACATTTTGAGGTGATATTCTCGATGACATTGTCTTGTGAAAATAAACCACATCCCTGCGGAAACCTTCATATATAGTTAAATAATCTCATTTTGCTTCTGATTTTTTTCATAATACTAATAATAATAATAATAATAATGGGATTTGGGAGCATATGTTGGTTTTTTTTCAATGTTATTTTTTAAAAAACACCGGTATTCAAAACCTATTAAATCGCAATTAATTTGATCAAGGTCATCCATTAAGAAATAAAAATTTTCAGTGATGACGTATTTTATACACGCTTATCCAACCACAACAACCATAATATTTTTCAGTGATGATTTATTTCATACACTTGACAAACCACTTATCCAACCACAACGTTAATTTGTTGATTTCTTCACTATGTCTAGATTAGTTCAATAATTTATCAGCAACATTCTATGATATTTTGGTTTCTTGTGGTGTTTAACTTATAGCTAGCTATGGTCCCATCCATATTGACGTTAATAGATGTCAGATAAAGCTAATATTGTCAAACTAGATAGTTGATTTGATTTGCTAGTGGACACCGGACAAAAGACACGGTTTCTTCACGCACATGACAACGATGATGAAATGTAGGTCAACCTATTACTTTTCAGTTAGCTAGGGGATGTTATTAGAGTTATTTCAGTTTATTAATTAGACTTAGTTTATACTATTTTATTGAACTTTTTATTTAATTGATTATAAATCTAATTGTTGGCAGTTTTAAGATCTCACTGCACTGCTAGAGAAAATTATTGAATATAAAAAAAATATTAATAGAATTTCTTTATTGGTAACTATGGTGATATTTACTTATTTATTTTTTTCATTGCTAACTTTACCGGTAAAAATATATACCAAAAAAACACTTTATTAAGCTAAAATGATATAATGATTTGAAAAAATTTCAGACCGTCGTATATCTCAAAGAATATATAGATAAAATATATTCAGCAAGTGGTGTTTGAGTGTTTCACATGACAATTATAGTCGGGTGCAGGGAATCGAAGTCAACAAATTAATGATATTATTATCACGCACATCGGTACCTCTGTTTTGTTCATTTTACATTTGAAGTAGATAGTAAGATTTATTTTAATCACATTTATTTTTTTAATTTGTTGTCATTTATAAATATATTTAATTAAGAATTTTTTATCTTACAGGCAATGACTCTTAAACGTGAATCAAACTCAATAAAGCTTTTTATGGAAATGTATGTGCAGAGTGATGACCATCAAAAAAGGATATAACAGTTCATCGACAGTCGAACTCAACACTTTGTTGTACGTTGATTTTAAATAATTTTTTTAAGTTATTATTTTCTTGAATTTGATTATTTTATTTTTTTTATTTCTAGGAGATATATAACAGTCAATTAAAGAAGAAATACGAGGGCGATCCTTCAACCTACCCTAATTTGTGATTGGAGAGAGGATCGTATGGTAGACCTAATAAAAATCAGGTGTACAGACTTTCTAGTATTATAGTCAAAAACTTGCAAACAATCCGTAGTGTTTCAGTTATTGGGTGCTCGTAATCGATCCTAAAAACTCAGTCTTTAGAGTTTGCACCCTTGTTAGATCATTAAGTGGAACAACGTATAACTCATCCCAATTAAAAATATAATGACTCTTTATTGATTATGAAAAACTCTGTTGAATGATCATAAATATTAAATTATAGATGAGTGGTATATATGTATATTTTTATTGGCCTCACGGTCTCATGGATGACCATTTTTCTCTTTCTCCTCTAATATTGTTTTTGTTATAGTTTCATTGTATTTGAATGTATAAATATGTGATATATATTTGGTTTTTATATTAAGATAATTGATTTATAAATATTTAAATTTTACACAAAATTATCTTTTTTAATTATTTTTTATTTTTGTTTAATATATATATATATATATATAAATTATTATTACTAGAGTTAGCGATAAACTTATTCCAGCAATATATTTCAGATAATTGAAAAGGAATTGGCATAAATATCATTGCAGATGTTAAATCATCCACAAATTTACTCCATCAATATATGCTAAAGAGTCAGAAGAATTACTACAAATACCACACTAAAATACAGGAGTGGAGTCAATATATTAGATTTACTAATTTACTAATTATTCAATGTAAAGATAGGGGCGGGAAATAATTTTTGCAGGTAAAATTAATAATAATAATAAAAAAGCCTTGGTAGCGACGCCTGCCAAAACCCATCTACTGTCCAGATCACGTGCCAGAGACGCGCCACGACAGACCAACCATAACAACAATATAGTTTTCTACATTAGCTTGTGGTTGAAGTTGAGTTTGGATAGAATTCAACTGTACATAAAACTTTACCATAAAAGTTGGTTTTTTTCTTGTTTTTTGTTGGCCTCATGCATTAAAACTCAACTTCAAAGACAGTCAAGATTGCATACACACGCAAGTAAGGTTATAGTTTAGTGATGGAAGAAATTTTTTTTTTTTTTCTGCATTTGGATTTGAACTTTACAATATACACTTGTTATTCTCGTGGTGTCTTACTTGTTTATTGAGTTTACAGGATATTTAGTGAATCGTGAAAATTAATCGTAGTACAAATAAACTGGCCGAATGAACACCCCGTAAATAAAAAAAAATTATATACACACTGTATCACATCTACCTTCATTGACCATTCGCAGTACAGGAAAAATAAAGACAAATATGGCATATCTGAAATCCAATGGTTTAGTCTTATCTCGTGGATCCGGGAGGTGCCATGCGGTCTGCTTCCGTCATTGATTGAAGACTTTTGTTCCAGTAACTTTAGAGAGATCTTAATTTGAGTTTTTACAGAACAGTCTGATACAGGTTCAACTACTACGTTTTAGGTGATAGAAGAAGAAATACAGTAGAAACATAAGTATGGAGAATGGTGTGTATGTGTGTGTAGCAAAAAAATAAGATTCATTGTAAAAATTAAGAAAATAGTTTATAAACCTCCCACGTTAGAAATCCTAGCCGTTTCTTTAATCAATGATGTTAAAAATTATTTTTTAAAATTAAAATAATATCTTGTAAATTTATTTAATATTTATCAAGATCGAGTTTTTAATACTATGATTATTAATAATTTAGTGTTTTATAAATGCTTTTTTTAATTATTGAATTCCAAGATTTAATTATCAAATTTTAATACACATAAAAGTTTTTTAAAAAAAAAAGAAGAAGAAGGAAGGAAGTTTCAGACTTTTGCTATAAGTAGCAATCTTCTAAAGCAAAAGGAAGGCCCTGAGAATTTTGGAAGGAAAGCACTGTACAAGAATGTAATAATTTTTTCATTATTTGGGAGGAGAGCAGAAAATGAAGGGAACGATGCTCCAAACAATACTTCTTATTATTATTAATATTATTACTAGTCCAGTAGTCAAATGCATTGCGTCTTGATCCCACGCACACCTGATCCTAGGAAAATTCTTCAAGGTAGCAACCTTAACATTGGTTTTAATTTCTTTTTCTTTTTTCTTAATTTCTTAAATGGGAAATATTTAACTAAAGTTTGAAAAATATTTGATGAGATGCCGACTTGAGGCATAGGTTTCATTCCTGAACACGGAATCAAGTGGACACAGACGTGGGGCCGCATCAAAAATCATGAGAAAACTAATCAATTCAGTCAATATTAGCATTACCGTAGTAAAATAAATAATTTAGAATTTTTAAACAATGCATGAAAAGTTTATATACTCATGATGAAATATTATTCACTTATTTATTAATATTATTTATGAGATACGCTTTATATTTTAATTTTTATAGTTTTAAAAATTAATGTTTTGATTATAAAATTTTATTTTTTATATATTTCAACGAAGGATCCTATTTCAGGTTGAGCTTAGAGTTTACCTCTTTGATTTTGCGAGTCAATGGACCAAGACAGCAAATTCCCCAGAACGATAGAGATAGAGAAAAGAGGAAAGCTCCATTGAAAGCGAAAGCACCGCATTGCGTACCCTGACTTTTTTGCATATTTTTGCGCGTGGCATGTGAGCATCTCTGTTTCTGCGTGGAATCCTACTTTTTATTTATTTATTTACATGTCTCTGCAGATTTGTATCTCCTTATTCCAGCTTCTATTTAGTGTTTTTTCAATACATTTCTCTAGTTATCAAAATATGTATATATATATAATCTAACCTTGACTCCTGCTGGCAAGGGACAAAGGATTATATTGCTGCATTTAATGTGAACACTTTCTATATATATATATATATATGGAAAATCTAACCTTGACTCCTGCTGGCAAGGGACAAATGATTATATTGTTGCATTTAATTTGAACACTTTCCGTAAAATTTATTGCAACTTTCCACTACAACAAGAATAAAGATTACATTATGTTTTTTTTTCTTTGAGAAAATATGTATTTCTTCAAAATGAATGGAAGCTTTACTCTCTGGTAAAAATAAGATACATCCACGATAAAAATAAAAAATAAAACAAAAATTACCATACACTTGCATTCCTTTTTTTTCCCGAAAATGTCTTAACTTGTCCATAAAAAATATTCATTTTTGCCAATTATTAATAAAAGAAACATAACCAATTCCATCATTTGTAAGAAACGGAAGAGACAACAGGAACATACCTTAAATAAAAATTAATGACACGAGAGAGAGAGAGAGTTCCAAATATATATACATATATATATATATATATATATATATAAAGAAGACAAAAGGATCACATCATTCTAT